ACCTACACACATACACATAATATAAGTACATTTGCGAATCATAAAAATACATTAGAATATTGATCAGCATCAAATATCAAGTTGATAAACCACAGATCTTAAATGGAGGCATGTATGTCATGTACCCACTTTGTCTCCCTCGTTATGCCGCTGTTAGCCGCATCTTCTTTGGTCTCCCTTTAAAAAAACGCCACATGCTTTGTAATTGTTATCCGCGTTTTGTTCGGTTACCCTTTGAAGGACGACAGAAAACGGAGACGATTGCGCGAGATAAGGATTTTATTCAGAAGCAAAGTGGAATTTCGGCTCTCCCTTTTTTCGCATTTTTGGTAAGTAATTATTTCATGATTGTCGCTGTAAACTAACTAATTGTTATAGTAAGATCATAAGGACAATGTCGTTGAAGTTCGGTGATTTGGTATGTTATTGTAGGATATTAACTTTGATAATTTTGAAAGTTCACAAAATCTTTTCCTATTGTAACTAAAATTCTCAGTAAGTTGTTATCACCAGTACACTATTTTTTAAGGATTTCGTTTCGACATTAGGTAAGTAAGGCTATTTTTTCTTTAGCTTTCATTATTATTTTATAAAGTTAGTCATTTTTTGTTTAAGCTTTAACTTTTACCAGTGACACAAACCTGCAAATCATCCTGATATTTAACAAGCTTCTTATTTCAAGGAACATATTTTTTTATTTATATGATTATTAGTATTATTTTGATGATGTAGTTGTCATTAATGTGATTGTAATTTATATTGATGATAATATTATTATTATTATTATTATTATTATTATTATTATTATCATTATCATTATTATTATTATTTCTGTTATTATTATTATTTTTTTTTATTGTTATTATTATTTTTTTTTTTTCTTGCTGCTGTTTTATTCTTATTGTTAATGTTATTATTTTTATTATCATAATTATTATTATTATTATTATTATTTATTATTATTACTCTTATTAGAATAATGATAATAATTAATTATTATTAATTATTATTATTATTATATTATTATTATCATTAGCTTCACATTTTATTATTATTATTAATTATTATCATTTTTGATATTTTTTAATATATTTTTTACTACAATTACTGATATTGATTATTAAAACTAGAATGTTTCCGAGACTAACCAGAAATCACCAAGGTCTCCATGCTTTCAGCACCGAGATCAAAACACCACCATATTTTGATGAGAATATTTATTGGTTTCACTCCTTATGTGGCTATACATGGCCATGGAAGGCTACAAGCTCAATTTCAGACAAGATATAATTTTTGGACCAATGTCAGTCACCTGTATGCACTGAAGAGGCCATGGCACCTGCTGTGATGATTGCCGAGGTGTATTTTTTAAATGGTCGTGAGCTTATCTTTATTATTTTTTAAACTTGTCATTAGTTAATACTTTTTGTATTTTTTGTGGCTGTTCCCATAATTTTTTCTCAATTGCCGACATTTCAAGATTTACCGTTTCTGTAATCATTAATCATGAAATCTTATTTTCTTGAGGTAATTTTCTTACTTAATTAGAAATCTTTATTGTATGTTATTACATCATATATTGTATTCTGTTATATCATTATGTTGATATTTAGAGGTGACATTATGAAAAGAACAGATGATGTTATATAGTTAATTTAAAAACATTTTAATAATGATATCAGTCAAAACATTAGCCACATGTACACAAAATTTCAGAATATTGGAAAAAATACAAACAATTTAAGATGCATTAGGCAGCAAGACTTTTTTCAACTGAGTTGGCAGAAATATTTAGTGGGATACATATCTTAGCATCATCAGAAGTTGAATATATTGAACATTTGTTACCATTCATTAGTAATGTTACCCATTGAAAGTGAGTGCCAATGTATATGTTTTTTTTTTTTTTTCTTCTTCTTCTTCTTCTTCTTCTTTTTCGTTCTTTTCCTTTCTTGCTTTATTTTACAAAATAGTTAAAATAACATTTGTTGGTTGTGATGACCAACCTCTCAAGAAAGACCTAAAATGTGTGATATCGGAAGCATTTCACAACTCTTTTTCTTATCACACTCAGATGTTATGAAGATATATAAGAACTGAGCTAGGGAATTAGATTTTTTTTTTTCTCTCTCTCCCTCTGTCTTATTCTACCATGTATTCTAACTTATTGACAGTATATACATTAAGTTTTCCTCTATCTTAATTTATAAAATAGAATTATATTAGCCACTAACAATTACCTTTGTTTTCAGAAAAAAAGTTTTATTAAAGTTGTGTTAAATTATATGACACCTAAACAAAATATAGGGTTTAAATTTCAAACTGATCATTTGTATATTTAGGCATTGCAGTACTGTCTAATGTTGATATTTCGGATGAAAAGTAGCAATTGAGGCTGAAATATTAGTATACAACACTAAGAGCAGGTGTCTTCAAGCTATTTACTTGATTGATGAAACAACAGGAGCCCTGTTTTGTTTTGTTTCCTAATTCAGAATTTCTAACTAGAGCCACCTACTCAGTCAGTTTTGCAATAAAGAAAATATTAATCCTTTTGTTTCTTAAGGCATGTTAAGATTTAAAAAAGGATTAATCTAAATGATAAGGCTATCAGAATTATACTATAATGGATAAAACATTCCCTTTTACACTGTTTCTTATGTGTACCATGCAAAGTAAATCAGTGTAAAATGGTATGATTTATCCACAATACTATGATGCTGCTAGCCTTCTTATCATTTAGGTTAATCAATTTTTAAATCTTAATATACTTTCCCATGCCTTAAGAAATAAAAGGGTTATGATTGTACAATGTTCATGGCTTTATTGAGATTGTGTCTCTGTCTTAATTTGTAAGTGGTTATGTTGTTATTGAACCTGTTTATTTCCCAGCAGCTCATAGATCAGCATATATGGTATTATGTACGGTGTGTGTGTGTGTATATGTATATATGTATATATGTATATATATATATATATATATATATATATATATATATATATATATATATATACATATATATATATATATATATATATATGTGTGTGTGTGTGTGTGTGTGTGTGTGTGTGTGTGTGTGTGTGTGTGTGTGTGTGTGTGTGTGTGTATGTGTGTATATATATATGCATATATATGTGTGTGTGTGTGTGTGTGTGTGTGTGTGTGTGTGTGTGTGTGTGTGTGTGTGTGTGTGTGTGTGTGCACGTGTGTGCTTGTGCGTGTATGTGAATGGTTATTAAGATATATAAGAACTGAGCCAGGGACTTTTTTTTTTTTTTTTTTTTTTTTTTTTTTTTTTTTTTTTATATTTCCCTATAGCTCATAAATCAGCATGTCCCTGGTTTGACTAAATGGATCTTAACAATCAGCTTAGTGTGTTTTGGGCAATTACATAAGAGGGTCTCATATTTAAACAATATCTTTTTAAAAATGCCCAGCTAAATCATGTTTATGCACCCTCTATACAAATAACCAAAATTGAATGAGCATATTTCATTTGCATTGATTTTTTGCAATATGATTATGAGGGAATATATATCATTTAGTAGTACAAAGTTAATTATATACTATCACAGCTCCAGTAATGACAGTTGACAAGGCTACACTAAGATAGCCGATGAAGAATGCCTATATGGTAAATATAGAAGATTATGTTGATTTTTCCTTCTTTTTTTCTTTCTTTCTTATTGTAGGTACATGAATTTTGAGCAAGTAGTACAGCCCCATTTGATTTTCTTTTCAGAATGTTACATTGTGAGATTGGAAGATCCTGACTGCTAAGGATCTAACCTTGTCCTTCAAGGCCTTTCACACCCTCTGTTCCCCTGAGCACATCCTGAGAGCCAAGGATTCGTCTCATGTTGTTTCCTTTTTGGAGGGAGAATTTGGTCCTGAGTGCAAAGGAACCAAAAGAATCTCATTTGTGTTAAGGATATATATTCATATCATCCTTGCCTTTCAGGTCTTTTATGTTGTTTTGCCACATTTTATTTTCTGTCTAAACATCGCAGTAATTAGAAGGAAAGAAGTGGAACTCTCTGACCTCAGTAATCAGAAGGGAAGTAAAAGTGTTTTGTATTTGAAGTTAAAAAAAACATTAGTATAGTGAAATAGGAAAGCACCAAGAAATGGCATCGAGTGTCCAAGAAATGCTCATTGCAAGTGTTCCTGATCATCTGAAAGAGGAGGTATCAGGCCTTATTTCATCCTCTAGAACTGCAGAAGAAGAGAGACTGAGAAAGAGAAGATCTGAAGGACGCAAGTTTGCTCAATTCACTGATGATGAAATCAAGACCAAAGCAGAGAGTATGAGCTTGCACTTGGCTGTTGCAAGGCTTGTGATGGAAGTTTGGTCATCTAAAATGAAAAGGCATGTGGAGCATTTAATACTGCAGAAAGCAGTGCAGGAGAAGTACTTGGAGGAGAGGCACCTGAAGTGGATAAATGTCTTTGATGGGTATGAAAGTGGGGATGAAAGTTGGCTGGTTGATAATCAAGATGATACAATGGTCGACTTGCTGTGGAACATCTTCAACATGAAGCAGCACTTCCAGCAAACTTATGATCACCGTCTCTGGATTCAGAGAAGTTTTGACCGTCTGGCAAATTTTATGCCAGAGCTTCATCCAGAGATCATTGACCGTCATGACCTCAGTAAGTTTGCCTTTAGCCAGGCAGTGGGCTACACAGTCAAGTGGGTCCATAGTGGCTGGCACAGTATCTGGAGTGTGTCATGTAGTCTGCATCTCAACAATGAACCACACCATCCAGACATGTGGTTAAGTACTCACACACCGCAGGAGAAATACCGCAGGCTTGAGCTGTGGACAAAAGATGCATGTGACTTTTACAAAGGAACCCCCTATGGAATATCTCTGACTGCAATCAACCTAAGATCTGAGGAGCTGGCAATTCCGTTCCTTCTAGAGAGTTTCATAGATATGGTTGCAATAGAATGGGAGAGGAAAAAGGGAAAGAATCTCAGTATCACAAATGCTGA